TGTAGAACCAAGCCTGAAACCACATTAGATAAAACCACCAGTCAACAGCAACTTGTCAATCACAGCAAAATTATCACCTACTAACAGCTCAGCAAATGAAATACCCTTTGCATGGAACTATCTATCTAAGCCTAGAACATGAGAGAAAAGTTCTGGAAAAATACTTCCACTGATTATCTCTTCCACCGCTCACTACACCAGAAGCTTAGTTTAAGAAAAACTGCACAAGTACAGACATAAGTATGAATCTTCCTACTCTGCTTGCGGATCTTTAGATTGAAACCAGAACCACATATGCCTTGTCAGGGATGTTACATGAAAACGAATGCAGGCTGCAAAGCAACCTCTTGATCATGTAAATGCTTTGCAGGTGGTGCTCTGGTTGGATCATGGCAACCACTTTATTCTATTCTCAGCAAAGTGTTCATTATTTCTATCACATATACCTGCTATGAAGAAAACAGAACCTGAGCATTTATAGGATTATATCTAGACTACCGGAGGGCAGAGTTCTAACCACAGGACTTTCCCACTGGAAGAAGGGAAAAGTGATTTTTGCCAAGTTTCCCTTCATCTGCAGCTGTGCCACTCCCCACAAAAGCTGCTCCAAAGGATGGGAAGACCCTCTAGAACAGAGCTGGTGTTCTAGTTCCTCCAATAGGATCTCTTCCACTTGTGGGACACCCTGAATCCAACCATCATTATACTGCTTTTCTTCCTGCAGCATTTACATCATCATGTAATGTACTGCTCTTTACAAAGGATCTCAAGCAAACATTTCCTTTCACTCTTTTCAGTTCAGTATTTTGTTTGCGGGAAATGAAGTGTGATAGAGAACTGAGCTTTCATGGGGTGACTCTTCTGAACTGAGGTAGAGGTACAGGACAAGGCCCCATGATACAAATTATGTAGTGTTGTCCTTGGCTGATGTTTGCTCATTTGTAATGTATTGGCCATATTAGTAATCTTTTGCTTAAACCCACAGGGACTAGAAACAATAATCTATGTATTTATTCATATTCAACTACTCCCTGAGGAAAAGAAGGCCCAAATGAATGTTCAAAATCAGGCATATACAGAATGAGCAAAAATAGGTGGTTCAAAGTTATGCTTCCAAGAAATGACATCTTTCAGGGAACTCAAACCAGCCTCTTCAAATTCTGGCAATATGTAGCATAAAAATAAATACAAGGAAAAAGAAAAGTGAAGTTTGCCACCTACTGCCCAATAGCATAATACTAAATATTCATACAGTATTCATTTTATATTTCTGAAGCCCCTTAAAGAAGTTATCTGTTTACCAACTGTTACGTACTTTCACATTCCTTGTTCTCTTTTTCTCTCTCCACTACTTTTCCATAAAATATTTTTATTCATATACACAAAAGCAACACTGCTAACTAAAATAGAGTATCATATGAGCAGCATATAATAAACGTGAAAGGATTACAATAAAGTTTAATATAGTAAACAGGCCATCAAGGAATTCCTTTGAAAAGAAGCCAGCAATGTCATGTGCTTTAGAAGCCTGCCCTCAAGTTAGATACTATGGATTAAAAAAATTAAAAATGCTTCAGCTTCAATTTTCAGAAGATTGTTACCAATGAAACACTTATCCTATCCACAGGCCACATAAATATACATACACCTTGCCTATGAAAGTTTTCACCACAATAAATATGCAGGTGTTTATGGTAGTCTGAGGCTCTCATTGTTTTAAATAAATACTTGAAAACTACAGTGATCAATGAAAGACAGGTGCACATAGACTTTTCAGTAATACCAAGTGCAGACAGTACAGAAAAGAAAGAATTTTACAAGAAATACTTCTAAAATGTTGGAAATTGTCTATTACGAAAATAAAATAAAATAGATAAAATAAGCTAAACTACAATCCAATGCAAATTCTTTATTATCCCAAGAAGCAAGAACAAACATACCTAAGATTAAACTTAGTATCAACTTCCTCTTCTGGACAAAACCCCAACAAGAACATTGTTGAATACATAGGGATTTAAACCTAGACTTTTAAGAGCTAAGCACTCAAACTCTTTTTGCCCGGATTGATAAATGTGTCAGACTGTCCTGGGCTGAGGTTCTTCCTCCAAGCAATATCAGTCTCATCAGCATTTCTTTGCTAATGATTTCCATTGTTGCATTTGACAATAAACAGACAAATAAGCACTTCACAATACGCCAAACTGTAACATAGAACAAGTCTGTACACACCACAGCAACTCACTCAGTTACAAACTGATGATGTATTGGATGACAACTGTTTTGGTTTCCATGGCCTATTCAAGCCAATTCCTTCCAATTCATAGTATGGGATTCAGAAATTCTGTAACCAGAGGTTAAAGAAGAGGGAAAGAAGCAGTTTTCACTGATTTTTTCTTACAGCCCCTTCCACACCCTGAAAATCTACCCAAGAGTATACAAGGATGCTCTGGAATGGCATGAGAGGTAGTGCAGGGGCTGCACACAGGGACCTTGCAGAAAACTATTTCCCCTCCTGCTTCTGTGAACAGAAGCCTCTGCAAGATTGCCAACTCTTCTACAAACGGAAAGAGTCCTTTGGTTCACAGAAGACTTACTTTGGATTGAGAGTTAATCAGTAAATGCATATAAGCTAAACGATATTAAACAAAGAGCATCTATCTAATATTTTTAAAGTCTCAATTTTTATATGCAACATTTGGAATTGCTGCAACTAGAAAGTCTAGGAAGAAAAGATGCTATGCAACAATTGTTCAGTTAGTTCATGAAGCACCACTTTTATTTGTACTAACGTACAATGCTTTCCACAAGTAGTCAATTTCCTCTGATTGTGTTGCCATTAGATAAAAGCATGTAATTAATACAGGAAAATGAAACTGTAAAAGCACAGAAGTTAGCCAACAATCCCTGAGACATTATTCATTCTAACTTTTAAAAACTGATTAGATACTCTGGACAATGCCCAGCCAACTATCTGCTTTTCATCTCTGTTGTGTTTTGCATATCTTTTGCTTTTCTTTTGTTCTAGAACACCATCACCAGTATGGCTTTTCTCTTTCTCATCCCTTCAGCAGTCTTTTTGTGTACTTTAATGTACATGTTCTCTTGTATAAATCCAATCATGTGTTCCCTTCTGTCATTTATATAAGTAGGGATGGACAATTTGTCAATGTTGCTTTCTTTCAAATTGTTTAAATATCAAGCTCCCTCTGCCCTAATATGAAAGAAATCATGGATTTGGGTACATTCTTAACAAAAACGAACTGAAACCTAATTCTCACTCCTCTGCTTTGGACAAATTTAATAGGCATAACTTTCCCAGATGGGAGCAGGGGAGAAGGCGGGATATGTTGTATCTGTTAAAAGTGAAAAACCAATCAGCAAAAAGACCCCTAACTTGGGGCACTAACAGGCTGAATGTGGCATTCATATTCAAACTTCTAAGAGCACTCAACCCTGGATGGACAAATATGTCCATTTCAGTTTCTTCCACCTTCCATTTTATAAAAAAAATCAAGTTATTTCCGTATCAAGTATGAAGACATTTGTGAATTTTGATAAAGCAATCTGAACCAAGGTTCCTACCCAAAGCTTATTAAGATAATATAAATAATATCTCTGAGGGAGAATTGAACCACATTTATTATAAGGCATACAGTTTTGTTCACAACACACAAAACTGATGGTGTGATGTCATCCTCCTGAATTCACACAAGTATCAAGACAGTTTCACTGCTGATGTCCTCAGTATGGATTTTCTTCCTAGGAGAGGAACAGCAGGCCTGCCCTCTACTGGTATTTCGGAAACTAGGGAAAGCTATTTTATTCTGAAAAGAATTTGAGGTGGTTAGTTGGAGAGGTTTTTTTTTTTTAGCTATACTGAAAATTTTATTAAGAGTATCTGCTGCTTTTGTTTATAATCTTTTTTTCATTTCAATATTTCTTATTGTATGACTTGCATTTTTAATGTATCATGTTGTATAACTTGAATGGTTTTTATGGGCATGTGTAGGTATTGTAAGCCATCCTGAGGGCTCTCCTCTCATTTTTATTAATTATTTAAAATTTTTATATACTGCTCTATAGCTATAAACAAAGAAATGAAGAAGAAAGCAGGAAATTATTATTGTTATTTTACTATTATTATTAATTAATAATAATAAAAATGCAGAGCTAAAGCCTTTAAATCAGACTGCACCAAAAAGACCATCAGTGGTTATTCAGAGGAGACTTGTTTAAATAAACATGTCTTCAGCACATGCCAAAAATGAAGTGCCTGTCTGAAATCATGAAGGAAGGAATTCTGTAGTCAATACACTAAAGGATCCAAATTAAGTGGGCTCCAAATGAACTGCTGGTCCATCTAGAACGACCATCTGATAACCTTAGTAACTAACCATCATGGTGGGACACAAATTCCATAGACAGACAGATAGCAAGCAGCATAAAAATGGGAAAGAAAATTAAGCCTGCAAATATCTTTGCCTCCAAAAGAGAATACATCATGCATACGAAAAGGAGAAATCTTATTAGGCGATGGTGCATTTCCATCTAAGAAAGTCACATTTTTCTGTACTGAACTGGACAGTTCACTCATGCCCGCAGGCTGCCCATGACCAGACTTTGCTTCCAACTCCCCTTAACCACTTTCCCAAACCCAGACAATGGCAATATTGAACAAAACTCTGCAGCCTCCAGTGTACCACTGTTACTGAAATAAGAGCATCCCCACATGCCATACTTCAGTGTCACAAAGTTGACATTATTCTGTCATTTTCAAAAGCTATTGTATAATTATCTTTGAATTGGGTTTAATGTAAGAAAAGAGTAAGACTGGAGGCCTTCAAATACACAAGTGCTTTCAGTCTGAATGCTAAAGAAATGCTGATCTCACCATTTATGCAAATCTGTAGATAAAACTGAGAGGCTTAATATAAGAAGGTAACAATGCATTACCATCCAAAACAAACATTAAAAAACACAGAGTGAGAGAAAAGGCTTACTGTGACTGCATTTGCTGTGCCAGTCCAGAAGGTTTCTGCTTGAGTGTAAAAGTCATTTGAGCCATGGGATTGACTTTTTGTTGCACATGCACTTTCTTTGAAAATGTCTGCTGACCAGACCGTTGAGGAATAGGCCATGATGGAGTTACAGGACCTGGTCCAACAGGCGAAACTGTTTCTTGCTTAGTTGCATCCTCACAAATGTTGCCTTTTGTCCCTGGTTTACACACACAAAGCTGTGGTCGCAGACACATCCCTCCATTTTGGCATGGCGGTGAACAGTTAGCTAAAGAGAAGAGATAAATAAGTGAACAGCAAAAACCTTATTCTTTATACAATGTGAGCACTATAAAATCTGGAGGTAAAACCTACCCCTTCAAAGTAAACCTGAAGTAAATGGTGCCAGAACTTGACAGGATATGAGAAATTATCTGCTTTTGCTGAACAGCAGACACTGATGTGCTAGACATAGTACAGATTTTAGGCTCCACCTTCTGTTCTATGCATTAGGCAATCATATTTATTTATTCCATTTTTCCTTACAACAAACTCAAAGTGGCTCACATCATTCTCTTCCTGCTGCTCTCAATCTTATCCCCACAACAACAACCCTGTAACAGTCACCCAGTTGGCTCCATGGCTGAGTGGAGACTAGAATCCAGATCACTTGAATCCCAGTCCCACACTAACCACTACACCACACTAGTTCTCTATATGATCTGGCAGTATAATAATTAGTATGGTGTTGAAATTAAGGACTTCCACAGGATGAAAGCCAACATTGCACAAGCACAGATGAAATCTCCATATAGGTTGCTCTTTGCTCACAAATACATCAGTGGCATATGAATCTGCTTTGTGAACTTTATATCAACAGAAAAAGAGTCATACATAAAGACACATCTCTACAAGGCTGCCACGTCATTTAGAAGAGGAAAGTAGGTAACATAAAATAAAAGCCCAACTCACCCCTCATACATAGTACTAGCGAATAAGTTAGTTTAAAATGATGATGTCTATTATCCTTTGTAGACTTACAGAAAATGCTGTAATAAGTGTATCATTACTGACAGTTACATAGCAATCCTACTACAAGCTATGGGGACCTCCAACAATAAGGCAATAGAGTCTTCAAACAATCTAAGGTTCTTGCCTGTTGGGAATGAAAAAAACAATCAAGGTCAGGCCGATTTGCACTCATCAGATGAGGAGTGACAGTGGCCCTCAGAACAGGCACCCCCAGACACTGAAATAGGATGGCAGAAGGACTTATCCCAAGGCCACCCTCTTTAGGTGCTTAGATGGACTTGGATCTGCAACTGATGGAAAGGAGCGTGGAACAGGAGGGACAGGAGTCAGCTGAGCCTGGTACAACTCTTGATCCCATGATGCAGCATTGCAAGAGAAGGGCTAGCCAACTAGAAGGGTGGTATACAGAGATGAAGTATGACCACTTCCAAAAGGGCGCTCCCAGAGGGAGAGGCCTCAGGGGTTCAAAAGAGTGTTCTCAGTAGTGGCTAGATTGGGTTCAACAAAGCACTGTGTGCATGCTCAGAGACTTACTCTGACGTGATTGTGCTTCCTGGAACTTTGGGGGACGAAGAGCTTTTGCAAAGGACTGGTCTGTTGCCTTGTATGTGCAAAACTAGCTCTTGACAATGCCAGACTCAAGGACAGAAGTGAAGAAGGAACCATGTTTTTGGCATCTCCATTTCTTGGACTTCATTGGAATTTTTATAAAATGAATCAAAACCTGGGTCAGAGCAGATCCTTGGCCAGTTTTGGAGCTTTCTGGGCACTCTCACTGACACCCTCATTCCTAACTTGGCTTCTGATGTGAAAAACCACCAGCTACAGAGGCTCCTGAAGCAGCAGATGGGGAATTCCAAGGTTAGAGTTCCCTCTCTGAGAGTCACTTGTTATTTCCAAAATCTTGGATTTTCTGGGTGCAGTCTGTCATGTTACCCAAATGCAGGTAGTAAGGCTTGTTGGAGGGAGAAATAACTCTCCAATAATAATCCACGGGCTGTTGTAGGGTTATTAGAGGGTTCCCCCACATTCCAGCAAGTCATGTCTTCTGAATTCAGACAGTACAGGAAAATCTATCCAGGCAGTGATCATGGAAATTACATCCAGCATGTACTGAAACTTAAAATAAGCCACCTCAGCCTATTTTGATTGTGTGAACCATCACACTCTCCCGAACCTCAGCAGGGAAGAGTCAACATTCCCTGTAGCCAATCTTGCAGAGATAATACTTTCTGAAAAATTAATGGAAAATTATGCTTATAGATCTATGCATATTGGGAGAGTGGGGTTTGCATTTAGTAAACAGATAATTTGGGGGGGGAGAGTACAAGGGAAGGGATAGTTGCATTGGCTTTTTCACATTTTTGTTTGTTTGTTTCATTCCAATACATATCAAGTGCATTTTCCTCTTTGAAATCAACTCCATGATGTAAATTGAAGTTGGCAAGCACTTTCCATCTGGACTAAAAACCAATTGTTGTTTCCAAAAATCAGATTGCTTTCAGAACTTGAATGAAAATAAACCATAACCTCAGTGTTCCTTCGTCCTCCCTGTCTCAAGGGACCTTTCATTGTTATAATACACTGTGAGGTACTGGCAATGCCAGACATGCTCTCCAAGACCCAGAACACCCAACACCTGCAAAACCGTAACAACTAATTTGGGTGAGAGGAATAGACTACCATGTAGTTGTTCAAGGCATGATTCAAATTCCTCAGAAGCCTCTCTAATTAAGACAGGTGAGGTTTGGCGAAACAATCTAGTCACCTACCTGCAGCTTCAATCCATCACTGGATCTCAGCATTTAACCAACAAATATCAACAGGCACATACCTTTGTGTTTCACAAGTGCATTCGATCTGCTGAGTTTGAGAAATGCCCCAGGGAAGGGGCCCTCTAAAGTGTGTCCCCTCCCCATCCCAGGCATCTCTCTGGCCAGAACTGCAACCACACTTTCTCCTCTCCATAGTTCACTGTAGCAGCCACTCTTTATCCCACATGCTTCATCACCTTTTCTCTTTTCCCTGCAATCCTAGTTGCTCGCTGCCCCCCAAGTTTACCAGAAGGTGACAGAAGGCAGCCCGTCTGCCTTTTTGAACATTAGGTAGGCATATCATGGAGCCAAGCATCCACTGCCAAAGCTCCAGCTCACCACCTTCTTTCCTCAGAGAGCCTCTTATGGGGCCCAGCAGCATTCTGGGGAAATGGAATGGATGTGGATGACTAGAGCCTCAGCAGCAGGAACTTTCTCATGCTGTGCACCCATCCCCAGTGGATGGTGCAATATTCAAATTGGTTGTGGAATGTGACTAGCACATTCTGCAGCAAACTGTGGGTTATTTAATGAACCCATATTCTGTCACCATTACATGCAAACATAACATGCGGTCAATGAGTTTTGTCAACTTCTTTTGATAAATGTTCAGTAATAAGTTATTACAGTAGGCTTGCTAGGCCTAGCATGCAGTCTTATTGATGCTTATTTGTCAACTAAAGAATGAAAAGATCCATATATACCTATATTAAGCTTTTCTCTTGCTTACTTCAAACAGTACTTCAAGGGTATAATCCTATGCATAACTAATACAGGCTAAGAAATCTGGGATTTGTAGGTCTTTCTTTGGTCTAAACATGCCCTAGCAGTACAATCACATGCATATCTACTCAGAAGTAAATCCCACTGCTTTCAGCTCATACAAGGATTGCAGCACCTCCTACCCATATAACCTTTGCTTCAATTATCAGTATCTCAATTATTACTTTAAAGGGAAAGCATAAGTAAAAAATTTAACAGATTTTCTTTAAAATCTACATTGCCTATCTTTGCCACAACAGATACACTAAATATTTTTTACAAGAAAAAGTGTAGCAGCTTCCTTTTGGTTCTACAGCTTAAAGAACAGGTGTGCATACAAGCGAACCAAATGCTGATACATAGGCATTGCTCCCGCCTGCTGATCTGGCTCTGTCTTCAGACATGTAACAAAGAGCAGTGCAGTCAGGATCCCAGTATGAGAAGAAGAGGTGAGACCATCAGCCTTTACGCTTCCCTTCTACTGAGGATTAACACTGGGGAGAAACAAGCTAGCCTTTCAATGTGTATACTATAGCCATCTCCCTTCTCTGGCAACCAGCTCTGGGAAGGTCTTTTAACATCCAGGCAGAGGAGAGGACAGAAGGGAAAATAAAACAGGAAGGAAGAGACATCATCTCTGTCGGAAACCATAAAGCCTTTTTCTTCATCTCTTGTGGAAGCCACATTCCAGTGGTGGGCAGGACAAAAGGATAAGTGGGTGGAGTCCATGGATGGGACCAAATATACATGTCCATAGTGTTGCAATTAGTCCTTTGAAAAGCCTCCACTGGCACTAATGGAAGCTTTAAAAAAGTCTAAATGCAGCACTTTTAAGAGAGCTGAAAGCAGGGAAATCCCTAATTTCCAGTCAGTTGCTGATCAGAGGTAAACAATTTTCAGGTTGTAGAGGACAGGGGATGTGTGAGAGGCAGAGGTTTAGTTTCAGGTTGGCATTCCTGTACTAACAAAACAAAGTCAGGATGCCACAAAAAGCATAAAACAGAAAGGCGTTATTTATTTTCATATGTGAACTTTGTGGTGCAAATTTTACTGCAGACCTCACTGATCTCACAAATTTACATCATAATATACTGACATGAAACTAGGTGTATCATTCTTTACTTTCTATTTTTATGTTTTCCATGATCTTGTGACTTGGTGTTAGTGCTGCAATAACCTAGCTCAGTTCTAACTTTGCCAGTATCTCACCAACCCAACCATGAAGTTTTCTCCCCACCCAGCTGGCAATGTCACACTCAAACTAACCCCAAAGGTACAGGAATACCAGTATTATGGTTACTTTTTAGTCCTGATAATAATTCACCCAAATATATTTACTGAAATTAGATAAAAATACACATTCAGATAATTGTAGAAACCTGCAGTACAATTCCAATGCTTTAAAAGAGCAACCTCCCATATATTGACACAAAATGCTTACGCAAATAAAAATCTTTCTATAATTAAAATAATTAAGCTTAACTCCTTTTTCACAACAGCAGATAGATGTGTCTTTTAAATTATAAGTTAGACCTTAACTATTACCCTGTGGCTGGATTCTCATTTTAATTAATCCAAAGTATACATGGGAGCCTCATCCAGTGTTACACATGAAGTGTATAAAACACTACACATCATTGTCCTCTTGTACCATCTGGCTTCAGCGCAGAAACAAGCAACA